GGCTCAGTAGTTGTGGCGCATGGGCTTAGTTGCTCCACAGCACGTGGGATCTTCCCTGACCAGGGCACAAACCCATGTCCCCTGCATTGGCAGGTGGATTCTTAACCACTTTGCCACCAGGGAAGCCCAGGAGTATTTATCTTAATCCTACTTTTGGTACCTCAGATTAATTCTCCTCTCTTAGGTTCATGTAGGGATTGATAGTGATTTCCCTTTAAAGCCAGAATTCCAGGCATGATGTTTTAAGTTTTGTCTTGACTAGTAATCTTATTAGAGGTTGTTACCCCAGTGGCCCATTGAATGGATACCCACGAAGTAAGTACCTAAATGTCCACATTTTCTAATGATGGATATGAAGTTGTCATCTTCACACTATTAGCATGGTTTGGTTGGAGAACCACTGTCTAGGAGTCTGGAAACTTGGATTCTGACATCCTAGTCTGATCTTATGCGTTAAGCTTTTCAAAAGCCCTTTGACTACACTGACTTATTTGAGCTTCCTTGACCCTATGAGAATTAGTGGGGGAGAGAACATGGTCCCCATTTTATAAAGGGCAGAACCTCAGATGCACACTTTGACTGAGGGCAATAAATCAAAGAGGAGTCAAGACCAGAGCCAAGTCTTGTGGCTCCAAGGTGTTCATTGTTCGTGATCGCAGAACTCCGTGTCCATCTTCACCTCTGATGAGCTGAAGCCCTTAGGTGGGCATTAGGGTGGTCCGGACCTCCCTTAGTAAGCTGGGCCAAGGGGGCTTGGCCGGAGCAGAAACGAGGCAAGACTTCCATGGGCAGCTAGGCTCTGGGTGATTCACACGGAGGGGAGATCTGAAGTCACTTTTGGGGGTGTCTTCATTGCTGGCTTTTCTAAGACCTTAAAAGCCATGGCTGTAAAGATTCCTGCCTAAGGAACTGGGTCTCTAACTTCCCTTTTCAGCAGGCATAATCAGGTCTGAAGATGACAAACTCAGACAAGCAAAGAAGGCACACACATCCCTCATGGGAAAGCAGAGCTGATTGTCACAGACGAGAATTGTGGTAGGAACCCAAATATCCTAATATGCTTTTTTTCCACCATGAGACTGAAGCAAACTGGACATTTTATCAAAAGGACAAGTCATGTATCTGGTTACTCAACAGACAGAAAGCTGGGAAGTTCCTCCTCCAGATAAGCTATTCACATTCACATTTTTTATTTAGTCAACTGAGTTTTGTTGATGCCCAAATATTTGGAAAAACAAAATGTGTGCAAACTGTATATTTTCTAAGGTCATATTTTTTCCCCTGGGTTTCCAGGGCTTGAATGTGTGGCCTGCTTTTATGGTTTGTCAACAAGATCGCTCCATAAAATGCATTCTGATATCTCACAGCTGTGTATAATTTATTCTGTCTATCCATGCAGCACAAATAAAATTTTTATTTGCATCATCTAAAAGAAATACCAGTGTATAAATACATAAGCAAAGCTCATAAGAAACCGTCTTCTGACTCCATATACTGCTGGGGGGATATTGTGCAACCATTAAAAAAGCCGAGAGATGGCTTCATTATCCATGTAGATAGATCATAAATACTGTACTCAGCAAATAGTATAGTTATTCAATTTCTTTAAAAGGTTGCACAACATTCCCCAAGTGCTGGCAGAGTCTGCCTCTCAATTCTCCTTGGGATATTTAGAAAATAAAGCCTCTTAGAGGGGGAAAAAAAAATCAGCCCCGAAGGACTTCTTTTGATTAAGATGTTGGAATATGTAGGTGAAAAGGGAAATGTTCAGTGGTCGGAACATTTTGCCTTTAGGAGAGTGAGTAACTGTCTTTCTCTGCTCCTAGGAGTCTTGGAGGATAAAGGTCCAGGGGACTAAGAACGTTCTTTATATTTGGTTCATGCAGCTTCAGTTTGATTATCGAATAGGAAACCCCATGAAGGCGCCCTGCCCAGCTTCCCCCAAGTCAAGGATGTGGCCTTGCTGCCTCTCCTGGTTCCCCGACTGGCAGAGGCAACCAAGAGACCTGGATTTCATGGCCGCATCTCTTTCTGCTGAGACAGGCAGCTTCTGAATGAGTCCTATTAAGTGTGAAGACATTTTCTCTAGGTCGCTGAGGCCTGGGTGATAATCTTCCATGCCTTCGAGCATTGCGGCCGGAATAGCCATGAAAACCGTGGCGTCTTCTGCGGCCGGGTGGTGGGTGATCCAGAACTCCGGTTTTAGGTTTAACGGGCCTTGGGCAATTGGATTTGCGATTAAGTACTCAATTTAACAACCTACTTGCATTGGAAACTTAAGCTAACAGAACTGCCAGGAGTAGCTTATAATCAAATTGGTTTGTTTATGTAGAGGAAATCTGAAAATGTTTGCAGTCACTTTCTGAACAGTTTTACCTGACTTTTCAGAAGATTAACATGTCAGCCAGGGTAACTCTTGGCACGTGGCATGGTTTTCACTGGCTGAGGGGAAAGTTCAGACGGATCTGCCGTTTTCACCCCATAATTGTGGGTATTTCAAAGCCTTCTTAATCCAATTCAAACAACACACCAGCACTCTTTCAAGATAAGTTCAGTTAATTGCACTTAGTACTGCTCTGCAGGAGCTGTGTAACTGGATCAGAACTCACATTGTTTCAGTAAATTCCAACATGGGAATCCCACTGAGGGTCCTGAGTAAGAGACCCGGGGCTTGGCAAAGCTTAGAGAGCAATGCCGATAAAACCAGTTGGTGTTCTTCACGCTTCCTGTGTATGACCTACCTCGGGCCTCCCCGCCCTTTGCCTCGTTTTATGGAAAAGGAACGCACTTGCTGACCATCTGCTGACGTGTTCTTTCCGCGGCTCTGGATGGGGCTGGAAGGTTCTCATCTTCATGTCTCATTTCTATGCTTCCCATCCCAACAAATAAAGGTCTTTCCTCCCTGTGCATCAGAAGTAGCCACCCCCCCACTCTACCACCACCTTGTTTTTCTCATTAAATTTTATTTCGAAATCATTTTAGATTTACAGAAGAGTTACAAGGACAGCATGTAGCCCTGTTGTTTCAGGGTCCTGGTTACTCTCTGAAATGGTCTTATTCATTCAGCCGTCTCTCTCCCAATATAATAATACAGGTCACGAGGGCAGCTTGATGTGTGTCCCTCTCTTAGATATACAGGATGGAGAGAACCAAGTGTGCTGGGACGAAGCTGTATTTAAGAGACGAGGGTCTCCACAGTGTAGGCAGAGGGGGCTGGCTCCAGGTGACAAGAGGGTGTCCTGGGCTGAAGCAGGAAGAATGGGCTTTTTGAATGGAAGACATCAGGTCTAGAGGGCCCATCATAAGGCGAGCACTTAATAGATAGTTGGTGAATGAGTGAGTGAGTGAATGAATGAACAAACAGATAAGTGGGCTAACGACTGGACCAGGACTGATGGCTAATACGTGGTCGGGTTGGTAGTGATGCTGGGGTGTGTCTTACTCCAAAACCCATGCTTGTAATGACTCTGCACCATCTTGGAGCACATTGAAGGGCATGAACTCAAGCCACTGGATGAAGTTCATTTATTCAAGGTCTCTGTGCGATCAGTGACTGCCCCCTCTGCAGCCAGGAAAGACTTCTGATGAATTCCATGCAGACAGCCATTCTTTCCTCCATCCTGCCCTCCACTGATGTCCACAGATGTCACCACCTGGAGCCAGCCCCCTCCGCTTGCACGGCTGGAACCCTCATCTCTCCAACACAGGTTCATCCCTGAAAACTCAGCTCATCCCAGCCCTGAGACCACAAGCCCTGCTCTCCTTGCTCCCCGGGCCCATGGTCCTCTCCCTCCCTCTAGTGCCCCATGTGGCCGACGGCCCCAGCTCATCCCCTCTGCCACTGGCCATAGTCCCAACTTTCGGTTCATCCTTGGTCCCTTGGCGCTCAACAACTGAGAGTTTTAAATGCTTCGTGACCAGCTTGAGAATTTTCCAGAGAGGCTGTGTCAGACAGTTAATACTCAAGTAGTAATCCTTTTGTAACCTGAATAGAACTGCAGACTTCCACACGGAGGATGATAAAATGGTGTGGATTTAAAAGTATTTGGGGACCTGTAAAATGTCTAGGATTAAAATTTCAATACCATTTGTGCCCAAAAATGCGAACTTTTTAGTAACTTGAAACTGTGGTGTTGTGACTCAGGTCTGAAAATTATGAGTCCTGGTTGAAGAAATGGGAATAACATGTGAGGAATCAGCTCCTGTCCTTTACCTTGAGGGATAGACTGTGGTCACACCGAATAGCAGGAGGGTGACCTCATAGGGGAGCTAGCCCGGAGAAATTACCGTATTTGTTAAGAAAGCAGTACACTCCCCGGAGGAGAAAAATGTTACACTTTCCATTAGGATTGTTTATGGAAATGGGGCTACACTGGACCTGGGTCAGTATATTAGCTGGTTTGACAGTACCCCAGGAAACAAGATCACATAATAGTTGATAGAACGACTTGATTTTTTTTTTTTCCGTGAACCAGTCTAGTCAGTCTGAACTTGACAAATTAATTTTGTCTATAGAATCACTCCCATAAGCACATAAAATTAGCCTCCATAAGTACAGAGAGCAGAGTTGGCATTGTGTTTAACTGATTCGCTGGAACTTAAGTAAATGGATTTAGTCTTAATATAGCTAAAGCCCTGAGACTTTAACTAGAGCTGATCTTAGGCAAAGCATTAATTCATCATTTTAAAAGTCACGGCTCGTGGGTGTTTGTTGCTCGTTGAAGGACAGAATTATATACTTTGACGATGCAAATCACCCAGCCCCATGCCACAGGGCTTGAAGGAAAAAATTAGCTCTTGTTTTCTTTGTTACAAGATTTTTTATGTTCGACTGACAGAGAATTAATCAGTTTTAACACTTGACTATGATTTAATAGATTATGGTGTTTCCCTGGCCTTATTCAACTTCCAGATATTTTCACTGAGTCATTGATGTCATACTTCTGATGCTAAACTCTTCCGGACTGGAATAAGCATGGGGATTTTCCTTTGTGTTGTAGGGGTGAACTTGGGAAGCAGATTCGTACCTTCCGTGCAACAGGCCGGCACGAGGGACGGGAGAGGAGCTTACGAAGTGGTCAGTGCCTCTCTTTTGAATGGAGACCCGTGGAACCCAGTGACAAACGCAGACACAAAGGTCAGTTTTTTTGGTTTTGTTTTTCTTCTTGACTTTTCAATGACTGAAGTTTAAAAATCACATTAACTGCATTAATATTCTCTTATTCAGGTTTTGTCTTTATTTTAATTCCAACTTTATCCTTCCTTATAAAGTGAAATCTTCATTATTAAGAAGGTGAAATACAGACTGGCTTTGATGTGACAGTTTTGATGAGTCTCTCAACACTGTGTCTGTGGAAGCTTACTTTTTCAAGCACACACCAGGGATAACATTTCCAGATATACAGCTTTCAGCTCATTTTACCTGAGTGCTGGATCTTTTTCTATATTCATGTCTATTTCATTAACATTTCAGTTTTATCGATCAATTACTGGTAGAAACATTTTAATGCAACTTTTTAAATTTATTTATTTTTGGCTGTGTTGGGTCTTCCTTGCTGTGCGTGGGCTTCCTCTAGTTGCCGTGAGCGGGGGCTACTCTTTGTTGCAGTGCACGGGCTTCTCATTATGGTGGCTTCTCTTGTTGCAGAGCACGGGCTCTAGGCGCTGTGGGCTTCAGTAGCTGTGGCACGTGGGCTCAGTAGTTGTGGCTCGCGGGCTCTAGAGCGTAGGCTCAGTAGTTGTGGCACACGGGCTTAGTTGCTCCACAGCATGTGGGATCTTCCTAGACCAGGGCTTGAACCCGTGTCCCCTGCATTGGCAGGCGGGTTCTTAACCACTGCGCCACCAGGGAAGTCTCTGTAATGAGTTTTAATGCAGTTTTATGCTTTGTTTACTTTGACACATGTTTGATTTGAGTCTTCTATGATGTAAAAGAATAATATAAAATAATTGAAATATTAGTGATGAAATTTCATATTTTGATGAGTTTTGTCTGACAAATATAAGTGAGTTTCTTAAATTTCAGAATTGTTGGAACAGTTGGAAAGGGATAAAATCTATAGAAATATGAGCTCTTTGGAGAGATCATACAGATGGCTTTGTCCTTGTGTTATGTGGAACTATTTTTAGAGTATTTTTTATAATAGAAAACAGATTTTTTTAAAAGAGCAGTTGAGATTGTGAAAATGGTCTGTAGTGTTCTGGAAGGGCTGCAGTGGGCCACCTTTGTGTCCATAATGATAATATGATTTACATCATTATTTTATTTTCTAAAGAGGCTTTCAGCTGAAAGTGAGCATTCAGAAAGGTTGGGTTAAAGGAGCCAAATGCCAAATCTCAACTTTTTCAGTATTTCTGCTTCATGGAGACGGTTGCAGCTGGAATATACAAAGTATAAGTCAATCGCGGTGACACTGATACTGTTTCCTAGATGAAAAACTTAAGACACTAAAGAAAATTTCATCATGCTACTAATTTGCAAAATGAGAGACGATACGATAGATTCAGAAAAAGAGAGGTATACTATGTTGTAAAGGAAGTATATCTTTAAAATATTCATAGGCACTAATTAATAATATAAAAATGTGGAACAATCTAAAGTTACTTGGGTGGTGGAAGCCTTTATGGGAGTTTTTCCCTGGTGGTAGGGTTGCCAGATTTAGCGAATAAGAGTACAGGATGCCCCGTTAAACTTGGACTTAGGTAAACAGTGAATATTTTTTGGCATAAGTCTATCCCATGCAACATTTGGGATATTGTTGTTTATCACGGTCCAGATTTAACTGCCGTGCTGTGTTTTATCTGGCAGCCCACCTTGGAGGGCATCAGAGCAACAAGCTGATAAAGGTTCTCAGTATGCCTTTGGAATGGACTAGTTCAGGCTGGCTCTAGTTTCTGACCTCCAGCTTCATCCTTACTACCAGCTAGCCACCTTGCAGACAACAGGAGGCATACCAGAGGGGGAACTGGCATATCCGCCCTGGCCAAGCTTACAACCTGATGGCCGGGGGCCACCAGCACCATCTTTGTAGAAAACTAGGAAAAGCCATTATTGTTTGATCGCTGTGCCACCTCCTCTAGGGGTCTGCATCCAGGATTAGAACCAGGCACATACCTAGTGGCTAAAATAACTCCAGGTCACTGACATCATTTAAGGGAACAGCGACCTGGGTGGTTTGGGGAACAGCATCTTGTCGTAATGCCGTGGGGCTCATCTCAGCATGTGGCTGTGGAGTCAGCCTTATGGCTCTGTAATTACCATGTGCCCCCTTAATTGGTGGTTAACCACTAAGACCTTGCATGAAAAGGGTGCATGTAAATGTCTGTTAACGTGCGTGTACCTGCGTGCCGTCATTCTTCACGGGGTAGCTGTGTATGTTTGTTGTGGGAATAAGGGTTCTGCCAAGTGGCGTGTTTGTGTACGTCTTTCTTCGTCATCAAAATAACAGTCAATGCTGTAATTTTATTTTATTTAAAAAAAATTATTTGGGGGAGATTTATTGAAATCTTTCCTTTATTGTGCATCGTCAATATCTAGGACCAGTATCCTGTTTTCTCCGTCCTGAATTCCCCTCAGAGTGCACAGCTGGGGGCCGCTGCAGTGGCTGATGCCTTTTTGGCCACAACATCTTTTGTTCATTAAATGGCAGGGGACAAACTCTGTCCGCAGCACCTCATTTTGGTCATAAATCTGACCAACTTTGGGGAGGCACATCATGACCAATTTTGTCCCATGGTGCTAAGAAGGCTTATTCCTACATCGAGGAGGATTCTGTGGATAGGCCACTCAACGTGCTAATTTTCAGATTAGGCCCTATTGACAGTCTAAAATTCTCTGGATCTCCCATCTTACTAGTCTATTATGATCTGGGAAATGTTTTCCCTTGTTCCTTCTTCCCACATCTAGAGTTGCGCTATTACAAATATTCTACGTAGAGGTATATATATGATCGATGGCCTCAAGACATTTAGTCATCATTACTTTGCTGGAGGCCTCGTTAAATATTGAGTAATGCAAGAGACAGCAATCTTATAAAATAGATGGGATATAAGTAATACTACTAGTAACTGTAATTTTAAACTGCATTAACGGGGCATATCTTCAAGTATGCAGAACATACCCACTTCATGAATATTTTTGCTGCACAACTATGCCTGCAGGACCTTAGAATACAGGCTTGTACGTTTGCATTCCTGCTTTCCTGCTCCCCTGTTTTTTTCCTTGCTGCCTTCTTTCCATTCAGCCAGTCTTTGACAATTTGACTTAGTTGGTCTGAGGCAAGGCCCAGGCGTCAACTTGATTCAGGCAAAAGTACTCAGATTCTCTTTTTCTCTCTCTCTCATCTATGATGGAGATATATCCAAATGGGGTATTATTATGTCCTGTACAAATCAGGAGTCAAGGCATCATTGCCACTGATCACGTAGTTGAAAGAACAGAGCATGGGGAGAGAACATGACCTTGTGTGCATCGGAGAGCTTCCGGCATTTTGTTTGTTTACTTGCCGTTGTTTTGATCTATAACCCGAGTAGAAGCTTATCTGCTCTTTCCTCCCTCTTAGGGTCATTGTAAGAATGAGATGAAACGATGGGTGTGCAAATACATTAACTGAAAACTACCACCCCAATGTAAGGTGATATGGGGAGTTTAAAGTTTCTTTAGGGACCAACCTCCAATTTCATGTCCTAAAAAAATTTACTCTGGATCCAGGGAAGACATATCAAGATGGGGTTGATTGTGAGATGACCTCAGTTGAGCTCAGCCTTTGAAGGCTCCAGGAAATTTCCAATTTCTAGCTTTCTCACAGGAGAATGAAACAATGGAAATAGTATGTGAAATGGAAAGTAAAAAGGCAAAAGGATTAGAACATGAAATCAGAGCTTCCCATAGCATACTGAGGATCTGAAAGATCAAATAGCTGCTAATTAAAATGGCAGAGGTAGAGTCTGCTGCATTGATTTCCATTTGCTTTGTTTCACGGCTGAGAAAACCAAGCCCTGTTTTTGCCCTCAAATAACCATCCCCTTTCACGCCTCCGCAATCAGCCTTCTTCTCAGAGGGGTCGTCTCATCCTCCCTCCGCACCTCCTCCCCACCCCCCACCCCCCCGTCCCGCAGGTCCTCTGCAGCCCTCTGTAGCAGCTTCCACTCCCAGCACTTCATCACGACCGCTCTTGCCAAGGTCATGGGTGGCCTCTGAACCTCTGAAGCCAGAGCATGCCTCTCGCTCTTTATTTTACTTATCTTGACGCTGATTCACTCTCCTTTGAAACTCTCACTTCCTTTGGCTCCTGAGACCCTGTTTACTCTCGTATGTTTTTTTTTTTGTTTTTTTGCGGTACGTGGGCCTCTCACCGCTGTGGCCTCTCCCGTTGCGGAGCACAGGCTCCGGACGCGCAGGCTCAGCGGCCATGGCTCACGGGCCCAGCCGCTCCGTGGCATGTGGGATCTTCCCGGACCGGGGCACGAACCCGTGTCCCCTGCATCAGCAGGCGGACTCTCAACGACTGCGCCACCAGGGAAGCCCTTTCGTATGTTTTCAATTCTTGCCTTTGGTTCCTCTTCTCGGCTTTGCCCCTTAACTGTTGGTTTCCCCTGAGTTTCTTCCTCGGTGCGTTTCTGACTCAGGGCTCCTGCTGGGCGTGGCATTCCGTCCTGCGGCCTCACTATCCACCTGTGCAAGGGGGGCGGGAGCTCCCGTGAGTGCCAGAAGCAGCCACCGCCCACACACGGGCTCCTACTATGTGGGGCGTGGATCTGATCCCCTCACCATCGTCCTCCAGCATACACTGACTGACAGTCCACATCGCCCACCCTGCTCTGACGCGTGAGATTGGGTCACTGGCTTCCGGTGGATTTTACGCACCTCCAGCCGGAAGTTCCCAATTGCCTTAATGGACTGTGTCCCGATGTGGAAACAGCCCCCCAGCCATGTTCCCCACTTTGTGTAGTAGCCTCTGGAAGATAAGATTGTCATCCCCCAGCTCCCCTCAGATCATGGGCTTGGAGACATCTCATCCTTCAGAAGCTTCTCACGGTATCTGACTCAGGTTCCTTCACTTGGTACCCACTGTGGAGGCTTAGCTCCCACCTCTCAGCCATCCTGTGCCTCCGTGGCAGCCTGTTGCCTAAATATGC